AAAGAACTTATTTGAAAAGTGGTCTTTTATAGAGATTATTTTCTGCTCCTGTATAATAAAATCTGGTAAATTAAAGCTTTCGTAGGTTTAACTTTTGAACCACAGCTATTTTATTATATTTAACTGCTTGACTGCTGCCAAATATACCAGGTACATACAGAAGTTCCATTGATTTCTGGTCAATGCCAATGGAACATAACAGCAAAGGAGTTGAAGCACAGAACCAGAAGTAACGGAAATGTACTGTGCCTGAAGATTTTTTTTGTTTTGTTTTTTTTGTTCTGTGACAAAATTAGCTGCTAACTGCGTGCGTGCTGTTTGTGAACAGGTTGACTAAGTGTGGGAATTAGCTTCATAATACAGGCTGCTAAAATAAAAGACTATATAAATAGTTCACATTTTATTAAAATTTAAACAATTCTGTATAAAGGAAAGAAAATATTCCCATGTGTAATTCTCTTAACATCAGTATAGTAATCTGAATTTTAAATATTGAGAGAAAAGGTTTTATGTAGTGAAGGTGTTCTAAAATCGTATACTTAAACTCATAGTCAAGAAACAGCTGTTGCTTTTGTTTTTTGAGATTAAATGATGCGTTGGTCCAGTGTGTTACCTGCTTTCTTGAAGGGAGAGACTTGTTTTGGTTTAGATTGCATGGATAGTTTTTGAACTTATCTCAGGGGTATTTCTTCTTTGTCTGGACTGATGCTGGTTACACAGCTGGTCTTCTGTAATATGACTTCCCCAGTTCTACATGGGCTAGAATCTTCACGTGATTGAGTAACACCAACTACGCCACACATGTGGATGGTATCTGTACCAATTTGATACTTTATTTGCTCAATAATCTACTTTTCTGGAAGTTATTGCAACACTTAAAGCTACTTTTCTCTCTTTTTTTTTTTTTTTTTTAAATGGAAGAGGGGAAGAAAACCCGAACTCTCATATCACATTTTACTTTATCCCCAAGCAGTGAGTTAAAAAAATAAAATAATACCATGTAGCCATGTCTATTTTAGCTATAAACAGCTACCTAAAATCTATGGTCTAGGTTGAAAATACAGATATTTTAAAGAGAAAATGCTTTATGGTCCGAGTTGTTTTTTTTTGGTGGGGGTGGGTTTTTTTTAGGTTTGGTTTTGGGGGTTTTTTGTTACTATTTTTTTAATAAATAACTTCACTGTTTTCATCCCAACTTCCATTTCTTTTTGTGGCACACAGGATGACAAAATTGAGGAAGTTGCTAATTGCTTTTTTTATTTGTAATAGTGATTTTTAAATAATGCAGTGGACTTGAATGTTACAACTACGTACGAGGTCTGTGGTGGATAGCTCTGTGAAAATGCATACACTAAATGTGACTATAAAATTGAAAAAGCAAAACTGTTACATGAAATCCTTCTCTTTGAAGGAGGATCTTCTACGTCTAAAGAAGCAGATGAGAGTATTCTGTCAAATCTGTCAACACTACCTGACCAATGTAAACACTGCTGTTAAGGAACAGGTTAGTGACTGTTGTTTGTCCTTGTAGTAGTCTAATATTACCCTTTTAAAGCAGTTGAAAGTTCCTCTTGCTAATACTTTTTCCCACATAACACTTATGTGGGAATGTGGTATGTCTTGGATGTTTAGGCTGAATGCCCTTTGAGTGTGAATACATACTGTACTTGTATGCTTGCCCTCCTTTAGGTAATTTAGGTAGGATTTCAGAATCAATTTAAACTTGATTCTTTCTAGTAATTTTAGGCAGCATAAACTCTTATTCAAAGGGGGGTTTTGTTTGTTTATTTAAACAGTGACTGGGCAGGCGCACTGTAGAAGCATTCTGGTTTGTAAGTTAGGTGGGAGAATTCCTTTTCAAAGCTCTTGCTTACCATGTGGTCATGACATCTCCAGTGGAGCTGATTGTGGATTCATAGACTCAGAGCTGGAATGTCTAGGGACAGGTATTTAAAAGAGAGATTTTTTTTTTTTTTTTTTTTTTTAAATTCTATCTTTGAATGCTTTTATGTTCCCACATTTGTACTATGACATATATGTGCCCATCCACTCAGGAGCTGTGAAAACAACTTTCCTCTTCTTGCTGTAAACCTGTGAGGACATATAGGGGCAACTTCTCTGTCTGTTCCCCTTCACCATGATGCTGTATGCAGAATATATTCCTCAGTTCTTCAGAGTCCCAGGATTTTGGGGATCTCTGAATCAGGAGAAAAAGAACGAGTACTTAACATGAGTGTATGTGTTTATACATGCACATGTATGCACTGTAACCTAGGGGATTTTATTGTTGGGAAGTGGTATTTCTTTTTTGTGGTCACCCTTAGGTACAATCACACACTGGTCAATTGTTAACAGTATTGTTTAGAGATATTTGGAGACCATTCTAGCAAATGCTTGGAAGCCTCAACAATGATGTACTGTACTGCTCGGAAAAGATGTGAGCAGTTTTCATTTTACCAGTTTTATAGTCAGTCCCTCATACAGTTGTCCGTTGTGGGGGAGAGTTTTAGCTGGAACTAAGTTCTTGGCTATTTCAGACGTAAAATATGTAGGTATTCAGTCCATGCAAGTAGTGCCTGACATTTCAGGCAGGAGACAGAAGTCCTGGCTTTTTTGAAGAAAAATGCAGGCATGAAGGTTTTTGGGGTGTTTTTTAATTTTTCTTCTGTTTCAAGAAGAATTGAGATGTCATCTTGGGAAATACTTCGAGTTCTGAGGGTAAACAGGGTCAATGGAAAAGGTTAAACTGTAGGGGCCGAGTCTCTTCCAGTCTGTGGTCAAATAGTTCTCTAGCCAGGACACTCACAGGTGTTCCATGTTCTAGTGAAGAGCACAGGTTACTGATAGCTAAAGGTAATAATAACCTGGTTGAGCTTGAAGTTTAAAATCTGGTCCACTGAGTCGCACAACTGCAGCTTTTGAAAATCTTGCTGTAACAAGAACATTCCTGGGACTCAGTAGGCATGTTCTATGTGGAAGAGCTACCTAGTGTCAAAATCACAAGGTGTAGGGTGTGAAAGTGCAAGTAACAAAAATTACTGAAGCTCTGAGTAAGTCTCTTTCTGAGACTTATATAGCCTTTTACTCAGGTGAATGATCTAGAAACTAGAACCGCCTCAGTCACATAGGGTGCAATAGCCGTGGTTCTGCTTTCCTTCTCTAATCTCATGAAAAGGCACAAGGGACTTCAGAGGAGCATATGTGTTTTTGTGACCAGGAAATTAGTAATATTTGCTTTGACGAGTTAGAGAACAGATCTGTTCGTTACAATGGAAGTACTTAAGAGATTAGAGTCAAAGAGATGAGGTGCAGCACTAAGCAGTGTGTTACCTTGGTGTGTCAGTTTGAAGAATGTCAGTCTAGGTACTGATACATTTGAACTTTTCCAGGGAGGTGGAGTACAGACATTTAAATCTGATGTCAGATGCACAAGTTAGCCAGCAAAAGGAAGAGGTGGTTGCTTTTTTGGAAGCAAAACATACTTCAGGATTTAAAGGGATTGAATGACCTTCAGCTGTTAGATGTTTTACAAATGTGATCAAAACAATTTAAAAAAAAAAAAAAAAAAGGAGACTGTACTATGGTTAGCGTCCACAAAGTTCTCTAGTGACCTAATGTAGGCATCAGGCAGAATTTGGGAGTTTCAGGCTCCTCATGTTTTAATCTCACAATGTTTTGATATTTAGTTGGCTTCGTCTGTGCAATATTTTTATTTGGAGACCCAGTCTTCATATAGCAACCTCCTGTAAGAAACTGTGCACACTTCAACTACCAGTTGGCCTGTGTAGTTGTTTAGGACTTAAGTGGCCTGTGTATACCTCTGGGCATTAAGTATTTTATTAAGCAGAAATACATTATTCTAAATAAAATCCAGTTTCCAAGGAAGTATTTACTAAGGTTTCTTTTTAATAGGCTTTCACAATTCTGTGTGATGTGTTGATGATCTTCAGTCATCAGATTATGACAGGAGGACGTGACATGTTGGAGCCACTTGTTTACACTCCTGATTCTTCATTGCAATCTGAACTACTCAGTTTTATTTTAGATCATGTCTTCATTGATCAGGATGATGATAATAATAGTGCAGGTTTGTACAAAACTTATGTTTCCTTTATATTATTTGCCTTCTAACTAATATATTTGTTTGCCTGTGCTTTTTTTGGTGGGGTTTTTGGTGTGGGTTTTTTTTTTTCTTTTTTTTTTTTTTTTTTTTTGGCATTGAGAGAGGTGTGCATGGTCACAGAGGTAGGTTTGTCTTTTAAATGTCAGCAGCTGATGAAAGCATTTTATGTTTTGGGGACATGTCAGATAATCGTGGTAAAGGTTTGGTTTAATAGGCATGAATATATATATGTGTCTGTATCAGGAAAAGAGACTTGTCAGTGGGCAATGAAGTGCACTGCCATCAGAATTGAGATTTGATTTTCTGAATCCTGACCATTAGCCCACATCACTTTATATGTAAATGCTTAAATATGAAGTACTTAAACCCGACAGTTTTCATGGTCTGAACTCTTTCTAGATGGACAGCAGGATGATGAAGCTAGCAAAATTGAAGCATTGCACAAAAGAAGAAATCTACTTGCAGCTTTCTGTAAACTCATTGTATATACTGTGGTGGAAATGAATACAGCTGCAGACATTTTCAAGCAATATATGAAGGTAAATCTGAAGCCTAGTAGTGATACTTCATAAAACTACTAGAATACAGTAGCTGTGGATTTTTTTAAATTATTATTTATTTTTTACCTTACAAGATAACTGATTCAAAATGTGAAGAATTCAAAACTCCAGAGTTGGTAGTTCGTAGGCCTTTAAAAGTTCTTTTTCCGTAAGAAGGGAAACAATGACTGAGATTAGTTTCACAGTTCCAGTGTGTGGGTAGTGGGGAGGGAGGAAGGAAACCTGATAATTATTTTTACGTTGTCTTTAATAGATTTATTTTCTTATCCTGATAGATGCTATATTTTTAATTCAGTTATTAGTTTAGCAGGCCTTTTGAGAATCTTGTCAAAAAGATCAACTCCATGATGTCTAGCCTCATCAAATAATTTCAGCTTAAACTTTGTAGAAGAGGAAAAAAAAAAAAGTTTTGAGTTCTACCCACTGCCTGCCTGCTCCCTCCCTCCCCCTCCCGCAAAGTGATCTTTATATCTGTTTCTATTTTATTTAAATATAAAACCCCCTTCTTGGCTCCTGGGATTCACAGCTGCACAATAATACGAGTTCTCATTTGGGGAACATGATAAAGCTTTGCTCCTTGGTGATTACCTTTAAAAAATTTAAAATTTGGGCAGCCTGCTTTTGTCTGAGTGCCCTACATATATTTTGAATCTCTAAATAACTAATTGGGTCTTTATTGAACCTGAAATACTTAAAGAACTGAACAGGCAGCTGTCTTCATTGGAAAAATAATGGCTATGATGCTATCCATAAGTCCTTCCTTTCAGCAGAGAAAACAGAAAACTCCCCACCAGAGTTACAGGAGTTACTAAAAAGATTAGATTCTAATCTCGTACCCTGAAGGGGTGAACACGTGTCATTAACAAATGTGTCATGGCCTTGAAGATAAATAGGTCATTCTGCCTCTAAAGTGTACTAACGACAAGAACAAAAAGAAGTGGATATACTCTTTCTGATTTGAGGTGTTTTTTACCATTTTTGGAGGTGTTTCAGGGTATCATTTTGATGATGTAATCATGAACATGTTAGGTTTTTTCCTTTTGAAAGTGTTCAAAATTTTTTTTTAAATAGCAAATCCTAGATGTTGTTTTCTGAAGAATTAGTTGTAATGTTTTCAACTAAAATCGAAAGTTAAACTTTTTTTTTATTTTTCCTAGTATTACAATGACTATGGTGATATTATTAAAGAAACGATGAGTAAAACAAGACAGATAGACAAAATCCAGTGTGCTAAAACGCTTATTCTTAGCTTGCAGCAGGTAAGAATGATTTACAATATTTTGATGCATGAAATTCCATACTGTAGATCACGTCCTGTTGTTGTAATAGCTAATGTGAGGTATTAATGAAGAAATTCTTATGGAAGGTAGGGATAAATAGGTCTAAATTGGAACACATTTTCTGCAACTGTCTGAAAAACTGCTAGAAGTCTTCCTGTACTTACCAAATACTGTGCTACAAAAAGTGTATGTGAGAGGCCAATAAACACGAAATGAATGTAACTCTGTGATACCTTCTTAACTCTAAAACAATAGAAACGTGTTGTGAAACTGCTAGTTTACTTATTCATGAACAGATAAACAAGGGAGAACCTGTGGTGGTGGTGTTTTGTGTTTTTGTTTTGTTTTGGGTTTTGTTGTTGTTGTAGTTTGTTTTTTGTTTTGCCTTTTTTTTTTTTCTTTTTAAACTATGCTGAGAAGTAATAGGAAGTTTTAGTAATTTGGTATTTCTTAATGTTTGGAAGGGGCTTCACTCATCTTTGAAATTAAAACATGATTTAATGAGTAAATGAGCTTGTTTGTGTGGAGACCTGATGAATTCAGTCGAGGTCAGAGTCGGATTCATCTGCTCACATGAACCATCTGCATGAATCTTATTTACAGGATCAGAACAATAAAGCCATGTCTCTGCAAATCACTGTAATCCAACATAGATCTCTGCTACTGTTGAAAGGAAAAATGTACTCCAATTCGTTCTCTCTCTCTCCACACCTTTTTTTTTTGACTAGAGGTCATAGGGCCACATAGTGGATATAGATCTAGATACTGATCCTGGCTGAGAACTAATCAGAAAAAGTCCTTAATGAAGCTCCTAAGCTGGTTCATCTGTATGAATATTGCCAATACAAGGGAGGACGAGACCTTTCCTTTTGATACTTCCTTTAAGTAGCTGGTGGAACTGCAACATAAAATATGCAACTAAATACTCCTACATTTTTTGCTGACTTTTCACCAGAGTTCACAAATTTTTGTGATATTGGGTAAATGCTATCCTTATTAGTCTTTTCTGTCTCATGAATAACCAGCCCCTTACATTTTAAAGGGCAGACGGAGGAAGTGAATGTAGTAAGTGCAGTTACGCACGTAACAGGGAGACAGTTACATAATCCTAATATGGCAATAAGAATAGCAACACAAGGGACCCAAGTATTATAAAACAAACAAACAAAACCCCATGTGTGAAGTTAAACATGTAACTAGCATTTTTTCCAGGAAAACTTCTTAAAAAAAAAAAAAAAAAAAAAGAAACTAACCAGAGAAGAAACACTAGAAGTGATAGTGGATAAAGTAGATAACTAAGTTGCAGCTTACACCAACATAAAAGTATGCAACCATGGGCCAAAACGTATCTATAAATGACAAGTTAATGTTCATAGCCCTAGTAAGTCTGGTTTTGGTTTATTCTGTGTTATATGAGAGAGGGAAGGGTGAGTGTGTTAGATGAAATTAGAAAATAACAGAAAAATTGGCTGTTGAAGAGAATTACGGTCAAATTCAGTAGGATGAGAAAAGGATTGATCAAAGAAAAAAAAGATTTTAAAGTTGAGTGTTCGGCTTTGCCAACTATTGATGTATAGTTAAAAGTCTGATCCTCAGTGGCAAAGTTTCTGGTGTCTTTGGCAGCTTCCCTGAAGACATGTTTCCACTTTAGAATTTCTTCATTATACTTGTATTTTGAAAAGATACAAAAAAATGATTAGAAAGTAGTTGTTTAACAAACTGTAATAGTAAAGGCCAGGTGAGAATTTATCCCATTTATTTCTTCTCTGTTAGCGTACGTATCAGGGAATCTTATTAATTTTTAGTATTCTCAACTGTAGAACACCTCATTTAGGGAACTGCTGAAATCTGTCATCCAATGTACTTACGGTTTGACGTGTGCTTGGACAGTGTGCATTTCAAGGATTAACTCTGAAGTGCAGACTCTTCAAGAGTAGCCTTGACTTGGCTTTCCTAAACCTCCATGTTTGTCTTTTGGGGTCGTTGAATTAAGAAAAAAAACCAACTGTAAAACACTTTTTTACTGAAACTTAGCTCTGTGTCGATTGGTCCAAAGTTTGGCATGATCTTTTAATAAATGGAAATCTCCCTTTTCATTTCATACAGCTTTTCAATGAAATGATTCAAGAAAATGGTTATAATTTTGACAGATCATCACCGACATTCAGTGGCATAAAGGAACTTGCTCGACGTTTTGCTTTAACGTTTGGACTGGATCAGTTGAAAACAAGAGAAGCTATTGCGATGTTACACAAGTAATTGTGTGCTTTGTATTACTTCCCTTTTTGTAAACACTTCTTTACTAACATTAAAATACCTTTTCAGTCTTTCAAAATCAGTTTGTTAATACAAAATGCATCAGCACTAGAGACGATTCAGCCCATTTATAAATTAGGAGATGACTGCGGTTTTGTCCCTGAATTAAATCCAAATGTTAAATAATGTTGATGTTCTTCAGCATAGTTGTATAAGCCTGTAAATGATAGCAGTGTTGATGCTGTCATGAAAAAGTATTTTTAACGTCCTAGCTGTAACAGTAAGAACTGATCCACTTCACTGTCAGTGGTGGTCATGTTGGCCTCATGCAGAAAGCTCGAAATGCAAGGTAGAAGCATCGTGACAGAAAGAGTGCGTTCAGATTCAAACTATGAATTGCGTTCACTTTTTTGCCAGAATATGGAAACATTGAATTATTGCTTTCTTGACGTAGAGGAAAGGTGTTCAGTTTTGATAGCTCCCAATGCTTAGAACTTTTTCTTTTGTTTGTGCTTTATGTGACTTAATTTTTAACTTTTTCTTAGGGATGGCATAGAATTTGCTTTTAAGGAGCCTAATCCACAAGGTGAGAGCCACCCACCATTAAATTTGGCATTTCTTGATATTCTGAGTGAGTTCTCCTCCAAACTTCTCAGACAAGACAAAAGAACAGTGTAAGTATTTTCTTAATATTTGTAATGATAACCATAAAAGATATCTGAATAAATATGTATTTATGTGTATTGCATTCACCTAAAGTGGAATCTTCGGCACATCAAGATAATTTTACACTAATGCAGTCAAGTATAATCACAAAGGGTAAACTGTATTTATCCTTCTTATTCTCGTTTTATAGTGGATGAACAGAAATCATATTCTGGATTTGCTGTTGTTAGGCCTTTTTGTTAACTAGATGAGGAGCATTGGGTGTTAATTTCAGTAGTTACTTATCTTGGTATGTTAACATCTTGTTACAGGTATTTTGCATCTTTGTAATTATTTTTTCCATTTAAAGGTATGTTTACTTGGAGAAGTTTATGACCTTTCAGATGTCTCTACGAAGAGAAGATGTGTGGCTTCCTCTCATGTCCTACAGAAACTCTTTATTAGCTGGTGGGGATGATGATACTATGTCAGTGATTAGTGGAATTAGTAGTCGAGGATCTACAGTAAGAAATAAGAAGACAAAGCCAGCAACAGGGAAACGGAAAGTACCTGAAGGTAGAACTTCTCTCATCTTAAAATTTACTAGAGTAGATATTCCTGTAAACTACACGTGTCAATCCCTATTTGTTAGCTTGAGTGAATTTGTATGCTTTAATTTTTTTTTTAAAACAGGATAACTTCTGTGCATGTATATGTCTTAGTGGGAAAACTGTTCATTTGAAGAGTCTGAATAACATAACACTGATTCACAAAAGGAAATAAAGGCACTACGCTATGTTAAGTCACAGAATACAAAAGTATTTTGAATACTTTAGCCAGTGGTTATAGATCCAGGCCTTTTGGGGCACACGTAAGACTTCGTGGCAAAAAGTAAAGACATTGATTCTCAGTAAGCAGAAAGTACATGCATTTAAGTCATGTTTAAACATTCAATTTTAGACTAGTTTGAAAAAATTTACTGATGTCCTATGTTTCCTTCCAGCTGAAGAAAGCAGCAGTAGTGACAGTATGTGGCTGAACAGGGAGCAGACAATGCACACACCAGTCATGATGCAGACACCTCAGCTTACTTCTACAATAATGAGGGAGCCCAAGAGATTGCGACCTGAAGAAAGTTATATGGGTGTCTATCCTATGCAGCCTGAACACCACCAAGCTCCACTCGATTACAAGTACGTAGATGAGTAGGTCTGCTTTGTGTTAGTGTTCATACACAGAACCAGTTCATGTTTAAAATAGAATAATGGTCTTTTTAAGCACGCAAGTAACGTGGATGTTGGCTCAAAGGCAACAGGAAGAAGCCGCGCGACAACAACAGGAGAGGGCAGCGATGAACTACGTCAAGCTGAGAACCAACTTGCAACACGCTATGTGAGTGTGAAATGTTCCTTCAGTGGTTTGGGGGTGGTGGTTATTAAAGGCAGTGTTACTCCTGTATCTTTTAAAAGGGGCACATGTTCTAGTTCTTGAGTAATGTTTTCCTATGTCTTAAAATTTTAAGTTGCCTTAGAAAAGCAGTGGTAAAAGTGCATGGTGATGCCTTTAGCAGAATAGATCTGTTTGGTTTCTTGCTTATTTTTGAACTTAAATTCCAGAAAAATTAAACAGTAGTGAACTTTGTAATAAAGGGAACTAGCTGTTGAACTGAACGCTATCTGTGGCAGATATATATAATTAATGCAACATGTGAAACATCATCTTTATGTATTCCTAACTGCAGAAGCATTTTTAGAACATTAAAAATGAGTTTTAAAATAGGAGTTCAATGTGTGAAGCAGAAAGTTTCTGCTCAGTTTAATTCTACTATTTCTTTCTCTTTTGACTTCTGAGTTGTATGTCTAGAGTTCAGCTGCTTTTTTATTTTAAGAGAAGTATTCCTTTTAAAGAAACTGCTGTCTTCGGCATTTCTGTGATCAATACAGATTTTGTCTGACCTAAACTGACACCAAAGTTGAGAGGAATCCTGTAGTACCGGTTTTGTAGAACTTGCCAACCCAAACACACAAAAACCTTGTCAAGTCCTCAATATTGTGAACGAAGATGAAGACAGTCTAGTGTTTCTTAAATGAATGTTGTCCTTCAGAAGGTCATACATTCTTACTGTAGTGTCATTTACTTCATTGTGGTTCATCACGTGGTCATTTTGACATGCACGCTAATGAAATTATGTTCCAGAGGTAGTTTAGCTGAGGAGGGGAAGGCTAGTTTTAGAAGTTCTCTGCTTTAGTGAAGACTCTGTGGTTCTACAGAAGAAAAGTACAAGTTGTAAACTAATGTAAACTATGTTGTAGTTTACATAGTTGTAAACTATGTCCAGTTGTAAAATGGACATACATATTGAGGAGCTTTACATCTTTCCCCCACTTGTTTTTAATTCTTTAATACCAGTACTTCATGCAACATAGTTTAGGTGGTGTGTTTTTTTGGTTTTGTTTTGGTTTTGGTTTTTTTTTTTTTTTTTAAATATAGTGACACCAGTTAGTATAATTAGAATGACTCCTTACTTTTCTTGTAAGGTCTGATGTTGCATGTAGAAATTGTGAGGAAAGAGGATGAAGGACTGTGTGAGAATGTCTGTCTGAAAATGGATTTATGCATCCACTTTATCGCAAAGACGTTCTTCCTTGCCTTGTCATAAGGCAGGAACAATTTTTCTTTAGGTGGCAAAACTTATATTCTTTCTCACTTGAGCATAAATACTTGCATGGAAATCTCTGAATTAGGTGCAGGTTTGAGCTGCTTATCAATTCCTGCAGCCTCTCAGAATACCCATTTAGAGATGGTGCCATAAGTTGATCTTTGTTAGTCGTTCTCCCTCACTCTTTTAGTATCTTCTAGCTAGTTAAATAACAGCTGTCTTTAGTTACGCATTTATTTAATTCCTTAATTTCTTTTCTATCTAATGGAATTATCATTTGTTGGCAGTTCCTTACTGAACATTAGCTTTTTAAATATTCAGATAAAACGTAACTTGATTTTGTGCTAAACAATATGCTTTTTTCTTTTCATTTCAGTCGACGTGGCACAAGTCTAATGGAAGATGATGAAGAGCCAATTGTTGAAGATGTGATGATGTCATCAGAAGGGCGGATTGAAGATCTCAATGAAGGCATGGATTTTGACACCATGGACATAGACCTAGTAAGAAATTTACTTTCTTTTTAGTGGATTTTGGATTTGTATTTCTCCTTTTAAAGTAGGGTATTTGAATCAAATTTTCCTTTTGGTGAAACAGAAAAATCTTTCTTATTGATCTCTGCGTTCTTAAACGGCTGTGCCACTATCTGTATACAAGTGCCATCTGTTCAAACTGCCATACAAAAAGCAAGAATACTTCCTGTAATAATAATGTGGGAGATGAACATTTATCCCCTGTAAATTCCTACCCCTTGGAGAGTTCAGCTTCATTTATTATAGTTTAAAAACTCTTTTTTTCTGAAATTACAGTTAACACATTTATTTGCTTGCTTTCTAAAGCCACCATCAAAGAACAGGAGAGAAAGAATGGAACTAAAACCAGATTTCTTTGACCCCGCTTCAATCATGGATGAATCGGTAGGTTAACTTACTAAGAGGAAAATAACGTAAAATCAGTCTTAAGGTTACAATACTCTCTTACTCCAAATTTTAAATGGAAAGAATGCAATCTTTAGGTTGTCTTCATTAGCTTATTTTGGCAGACTGTTACAGGCAGTGAAATACTTTATGCTGTAATTCAGCTTCAAAAATTCTAAGGTAGTCAATGTTCTTTGCAAGTTTATAGGATTTTTGTTCTTAATACTTTATATGTAGCTATGTAAAAATCAAAAGCCTTTGAATCTGAGAAGAAAACACATCTGGTGTTGGAAAAGACCCTTGCAGAGGTTGGTAGCAAAAAGCTTCTAAAAAAAAAAATAAATTGTGCATACACAATATTTAAGGCAAGTTTTCTGTTGTGATGAGCTTAGTTGAGTGACTCTGATGTCATTATCAGTTGTCAGCATTGGATGGTTTGCGTTGTGGGTTTTGTTTTTCTTTTTTGTTGTTTTTTTTTTTAAATTGGCATATTTACTTTTGTGCATAAGTAAGATAATGGAGAAAATAGAGATAATACAGATATCTGTTTATAGAGATGAGAGGTATTTTTTCTTTCCATATAAAGTTTTAGGTCCAAAACATCCGAAGTCTGTAGTTTCTGCTTGCAGTTGCCCTTTTTTCCGACTTGATAAATCTGCAGTCTCTATTCTCTTTTAAAAATCTGCATGAGGGATTCCTTCTGTCTTGAACCACTTGTAATGTATGCAGCCATTTTTGACCTTGTGTAGCTGGTACAAAATTACACTGGAAATAACAAGCTGCAGCAAGCCAGCAGAGGACAGTGCAACAAGGCTTCCTGGGAATCTTGGACAGCTTGGTGGAATTTGGAAGACGGTTATGTATTTTTTTTACAGTATCGTTGCAGCGTGAACCTGTTCTTGTTATGGGAGAAAGAAGTCTGAAATACTGTTTCAAATGGAAATCCATATATTTTGTACCAGTAGGCCTTTGCTTTAGTAGTAATGAATCAGATTAGGTTGTGCATCTAGCTGTTGTGTGTTCTGTTCTTGAAGTAACATCAAGAAAGTATATCACCTGTTTTCTGACGTTCTGTTTTAAAATAGTTCTTCCCTTCCTTGATTTTTGATCGATCTGTGAAATACCAGTCCTTTTTTATCCTGACAATGCTGAAAATTTGGTCTTCTACAGGTGCATTTCATTGATTTCAGAAACCTTTCAGCTTTTCCGTTTCTAAAACTAATTAAGAATAGTTTTAATAGGTTTACTGTTAGCTAGGTTTCTTTCCTATTACTTTATTTCTCATTCGTCGTCCCCCGTGAGCCCAGGATTTGCTAGGCACTCCTTAGCTGCAGTGTGGGAGTATCGCCACATGATGGCAGCCGGTTACAGTCGCATTGCTCCGCAAGCTTTTGGAGCCCCTTCCGAGAGCATAGCGGTGGCCCGCCTGCCTGCCTCAGTATGCCAGCCCAAGCTGGGTGCTGCTCCTCTGCAAGGGGGCAGCAGTGGTGCACTGAAACGAGTTGGTACGGTCAAGGGGGCACCATCTAGCAAACCTTTGTCCCGGGCAGGGTGCGGCAAGGGTGGTGATCCTGGAAGCAGGACTGGAGAAAACAGCTGCATCACAGAACAGAGCTGCTCTTTAGCATAAACCCCACCTAAACGAATTTAACTGCCTAAGTGGGGAAAGCTCTGCTAATAGTTTAGGAGACAACCCCTATTAAATCAGAGCTGAATTTCTCTGTCAGTATTTTAAATGTAAAAAACCCAGTTTCATAAATGCAAAAAACCTTCTCTGAATAAAGTTAATTTACTTTATTCATATATTTATTTCAGAGGTCCATTATTATTGGAGTTGTTGCACTTGTTTTTAATAGACCTAGGCATAATAAAGCTGTTTAATTTATTCAGATGCACATGGTTTATGATCAAAATTTTAGTATGTCTTCTCATTTTTTGATGTGTCCAGTTATTGCTGGCACCATCATCTAATTCATCTAAAATGAATTTAATACCAAGAACAGTAAAAATGGGTTTGTAAACAGATAAATGTGAACAGCAGTGTTAAGGTTCAGGAAAATTAACTCTCTCATGGCTCTTTCTTATTTTATAAAGTCCTATAAAAGCTAGGACAGTCAAAAGATCTGGATCTTCTGAGGTTTTGGCATATCAGTGGTGATACCTACTTCCATTGGCATAGAAAGCTATATATGGCTTGCTCCCACATGGGAAGTGGAAACTGATTCTTCGTTTCAGGAAAGCTTTTTCTTCACTTAATCACACAGTCTCCTGAAGGACAGTATTTTGATTTTACTTGATTATTGTTTGATTTTTTTTTTTCCACTGTCTTCCTGACAGAGTTGAGATATTTAATAGGAAATACTAAGTTTGTGTCCTGGCTGGCTGCTGCGAGATGACCTGCTGTTTTTATGAACGCAGACACAGCAGCAGCGAGCATATAGAGTGTTTTGTCCCAGGCTTAGTTGCTGGAAACTACACACTTGATTTCAAGTTAAGGCCTATAGAATGCCATTGTCAAAGAAGTCTCAGTTAGGCAACTGACTAAAAATTATTTTGCAATTATTACCTAAAATAATTAAAGCACAGTCTTTATCACATTCCTACTGGATCTAGTTAATGTCAAGCGTGGGAAAAATATTTTCTAATGCTGAGGTGCCCTTTTCATATTATTACATAAATCAGTGTGGTGAATCTGGTTTGGAAGAAAAATAAACTTATAATGCCTTAACATATCTTGAAGTGTCTTAATCTTAAATCATATACTAATTGCTTTGTTTTTGTTAAATGTGTAGTAGACTACAAATTGACACCATTTCTAACTTTTTTTTTAGGTTCTTGGGGTGTCAATGTTTTAATACCAGAGCAGCAAATAAATCAGTGGTGAAGTCATTTTCTAAGTGGAAGAGGAAGTTTTTCAATACAAAATTGTGGTAGATACAGTGAAATTCTGAACAGATTTTTCTCTAAGGAGAATGACATGCTTTCAAGATCAAGTGCATTGAAGGGGCAGTTTTGTTTGCCTGAAAAAAAAGAAATGTAAAGGACAAGTAAACAATTTGAGGATAAGCTACACTTTTTGTTGGGGAAAAAAAAAATCAATATTTTATTTATGTGCTATCAGTTTATTTCCGGATCATAAGAACTATTCCCTCAGAGTTTTAATCTAACAGTCTGAGAGGTGTTTGGTACAGATTTGAGCCCCTCTCTATACATTTGCTGGCTATACTAAATAATCATGAGCTCTGCTGGATTGCTGTTTACATCCATGAACTGAAATAATAGGTGGATTGGTTTTCTTACAGTGATAGAACCAGAAGAGTGTCAGTATTTTAAATTAAATGCAAACTTCAGCAACAGAAGGTTTGTATTAATTAATCACGGAAAAAAAATACATAAAGCAGAATTTTAACAGCTTTTTAATCTAAAACACACTTTTATTCCAAAAGCTTCATGCTAGCCTTCTCAGAAGGGTCCATAAACTATGAACTACCAGAAAGTAACAGATCTCAGTCATGCTTGCCCATTACCAACCCTGAAAGTTTGCTTGTCCTTTAAGAAAAATGTAATGTTGTGAAATTCCTTCCAGTAGTGCCACTGTATTTTGTCTCCAAATAAAAGAAGCTTATTGTAGTATGTTTGCAGAAAAATTCTAAACAAAAATTATACAGCTTATTAGAGTGTGGGAATAGGGATCTAAATTTTAAATAAAATTATATATATATATAAATTGGTGCTGATTTTATAATTGCGCAGTTTGTTTAGTTTTTTCTTACTTTTAAATTCCAACTTAAAATTATGAGGTTTCAGAAATATATTGAAAGTTTAACAATGTTTAAAAATAGAAGAGCATGAGAATTCATGCTTTAAAAATGATTTTTAAATTTGTATTTTATATTGTTTTATCTATCTGTCTTTGCAAGCAGTCTTCAGGTTAAAGATACTTCTAACAGGTTACAGTACATTTCCTCTGTATGTAAATTAGATTGGATAATAGAAATTCATAAACAACCCATAATATTCTTTGAAAGCTAAGCTTTAAACTTCATTTTGTGTCCATTCACAAATAAATTCGGTCTAAAACAGAAAGTGGGATCTATGCCATTTTGACATCGACTCATTTTGCAAGGCTTAGGCAGCTAGACATCATTTTAAAGGAAATATTAACTTATATTACATATGTATATTTTTTGTCAGTTGTCTCTCAGTTCTTGAGGTATATTATTTTAATCATTCCATGCCTTAATATGCTTGCAATACAAGAATCTCCCCAAATGGGTGAATACAAAAAGGCTTCCTGTTTTTAGACTTCAGAAATTAAACATTCGGCTGTGGTAGCCAAAAACCATAGATTATCTAAAGGATCATGATAAAATATAATTATTTTACTAAGTCATGGGGTAACAACAAACTCAAAACTAGATCTGCCTAACTCATTTTACATAAATAAATACTCTCATGTCTAAAAGTACTGCCTATATTGTTTTTCACACCACTGCATTTAATAGAACTGCTGAGAGGACTGTATATATGATTTTAAACTTAAGTTGATTTTTCTTACTCTTGAAGGAGTGTTTCTTTGTGAAAGCAGTTCTTACAGCTTTGTTTTCAACCAGCTAAAAATGTTTTATATATTTACCTTAACCTGTTGTCCTCCACATTCTATTGTCCTAATTGTACTGTTTTCTGATTTGTATTTATGTCTTGAGACAGTAACTTTTTGAATAAAAATAAACCTACAGTATGTTGTATGTTTGATCTTTTTAAATCGGGGTTAGGGGAGGACAGTGAAGAAAGGGGTATGAGTAATGCAAATGTTATGTTTATAGAAATCAAAATCTTTTTCCATGTCTTTTAAGTGTTTGTCTCAGAGTTGGGATAATGTATGAAAAACTGCACTGTTTTATATTTGTAATAAATTGTACAAGTTTTTAAAATGTGAATAAAGCACTAATTGGGTAATAATTTAAAGTAGAAAAGTTAATGCAATCATGATTGTGTGAAATATGCTTTAATTTGAGATAAACTTGTTAAAAGAATTAGTGTAAATACAGAGTAAGCTTTTCAAGAGGTTTAGTACCTGCAAATAAAATTTTTAAAATTTGTATAGAACTTTTACATGCCAAGAAATCAATGGTTAATTATTTTTGTGTTATGTTTTTTAAAGGTGTATCGATAGCCTTTCTGTTGGTTTCTTTTTCCTATTAACTATTATCTGACATTATTCAGAATGCTTTTGATGCAGGCATTGGAGATACTGTATATAGTCCAATCGAAATACCACTAAAAGTGTACGCTACTTTCCATTTCTTACATTTACCATATGTCTGATAAACATTCTAAGCTTAATTGGCAAGACAGCAAGGAAATCAGGGGGAAAAGCCTAAACATCTCTTTGCCTCCCACTCCCCTCTCCTCAACTACTGAGCGGCTCTCGCCGTGTGTTGGAAACTCCTTTCTGTTACAAGGCTTTTTAAAGGAGTAATTTTAAAATCTTTAGAGATCATACTTTTAATCCTTGCTAATGTAACTTTGGATGGGGTTTTTTTATTACTATTATTACAAATGTTCATTTCTGTCTCCTAAATCCTGCTGTAAGTTCAATAGTATCTTGTGGAAAATGGTTTTAGTATGTTCTAAGGTTATAACACAAGGAAAATACCTTCATTATACAATGTAAAGTCTGTTCTAGTTATACCACTTTGGTACAAAAGCCTGTAAATGAAAGAAATTTGACTTCTGAAGAGGTATGTGATAAAAATGTAGAAAACAACAAACAATTCAGAGAAACTAAAGCCTGTCCTCTAGTTTACCAAAGAGGCCACAGAGAAGATATTGACAGAATGAAATTCAAAGGAATAGTCTTCACATATTCTGTAAAAAGTATTTCTTGATATTAAACAACCAAAGACAATATGTAAGAAGTTAGTGATTGCTGTTGTTTGTTTGTTTGGGTTTTTTTCCTTTGGATGGTGCGGTGCCGATTCCTGTAGCTTGTTAGAGCCAGTAACTCCCCATCTTCTCTAATCTCGGTATAACTAAGTAATTGCCTCTTTAAAATTTACTCCTCTCTGTTTTCCTGGCAGTTTATACAAACACTTGTCCTAGCATGGGATTTCAGGGTACCACTACTACTCACTTTTAATTTCCTGCCCATAAAAGGTCTACTGAGTTTTTTGAGATGCTTTGATGCACAATAGTGTTTTGCTGCTTTTCAACCTATATCTACCTTATTTTTTTTTTTTTTAATAGCCTGATGAATGTCATGGGCTTGTTCATTCTTCGAAGCATTTGTCAAAATTGTCAATTTGTGCTTCGGAATTCTTTTGATAAAACACAGATTGGTTCTTTAAAAATACACTCATTCCTACTTAACTGCTTTAATTTAATTTTCTTTAATTAGTTCTTGATACTGAAATGCAGCTTACGCCATGCCCTCATTTTTCATAATCGTAAGAAATCTCTAGTACTGAGATTGTTTAATTTTTGTTATTTATTGGCATCCAAAAGGGATCATATCTTTGAAGGTGAGTGATGACACGTACTTGGAAAACAAGGTAATGTAGGACAATACTATTCTATAATAATAATTCTATTAAAAAAGTAACAGTGTCGATCATGCCTGTTGTTTTCCTCAGCTGTCCTTCTCTCCTGTATCCCTTCTTCATGTTGCTGAGCTTTCTTGAATGTATTTCTTTGATTAAATCTTAATTTTCATATTTTTTAAAAGTTCTTAACAGCTAGACTTCGAGTCGTTACAGATTTTGTAAATGAGTGCCTGCCAACTAGAGATTCAGTTGCCTTTTTTGGGTTATGTTTTTTGTAGCTACTGCCAGATTTTATAGATGTAAATCATAGTGGCAGTACAGTGGTAAGAAGCTATAACCGTGCCCAGAAAAATGATCCAAAGCATGTTAAAGTGATTGGCTGGCTGGCTGACAGAATCCCGCATGAAAACTTCCCTGCTCTTCTAGAGAATATATACAGTTCTTTGTAATGTAATCATGCTTCCCAAAACTGATCGTGTAATTTCTGCTAAGCTTTTCCGAGCATTTTTTGATTGGAAAAGGAGAGGAAAGGCCATCGTATTTTGCCTATATTAACTATTTTTGTCAAAGAAAAAGCTGCAGTTACCAGTTTTAAAAGTGAAATTTGCGTTCAGCTGATAACAGCTTGAATTCTGCGCTTTTAGAAAAGCTATTTAAAAAAAATTAATACGGTAAACTATAAATGAAAATAATAAAACCTCTAGGGGTCCTAGAACATCTCAAATTAGGAAGGGGACGTGAAGTTGGTAGTTACTTCAATAAAGCATTCAAGTAATACAACAAGGTTTTGGAGAAATTGATTAATTGGCTTGATGAAGACAGTTTCTTGTGTGTTGAGGTGGGTAATGACAGGTCAGATCAATGCGAACAGCAGCAGTTTGTTTCAAGTTTGGTAGGCTGTGGACATGTCTTGGTGAATAAGTGACCAATGTCCTGTTTATTTCCATTCTTTGCCTTTGAGAGCCTTTTCTTTTCCTCCCCTTCCTATTTTTTTTTTCTGGATACTAATATTGTTATGATTTATTTGTCAGAATTTTAGCGGGGACGGTGTCCTTGTGCTTATTTAGCCCTTCTCTAGACGGCGCATTCGATGCATTTAACCTTAAACTTTTTTCCGTGTACCTTTCACAATTGCCTGTAACATCTGTCAACAGGCACTGTAAGGCAGCGGTTCCTTGGGAATTGACATGAACGCTGTGCCGTAGTTAGTGCAGCTCGTAGTTGGTTTGGCTGGGCTCAGAGCTGTGGTACGTGTGACGGGGCTCCATCTCGACCTTCTGATCTTGCGCTGCTCAGCCCGAGTATTCACCTGATGCGAGTGCTTCAGCCTTTGAGTGCTATGTTGGCAGCTCCACGTGAAACCCTCTTACTTACCACACCATATGGCCATTCCAGGAAGCCATGCAATTTGCTGTTGCTTTTTAAATAGCAGTTAAACCACAGTTCTTGAGTGACATACGCACAGATCTCTTATTATTTTAACACACTCTTTTCACAGGTTTATATTCTGTTTTCTTCTTTTTAGACTGCTGAACTCCACCAAAAGCAAAAAAGCAAACCACATCCACTTGTTTTTCGTATTGTGCACAAAAGCACGTAAAGATGTGGGACATCTTATATTTAGCCTGCTCTTTGTATTCTTCATCTTAAAATGCTCAGCTCTCTTTTACACAACTGTTCTTACATATCAACTGGCAAAACCTGTCTTTTCATTATTTCTGTTGCTGGCTTATAATCTTTTGAATCTTGAAAAGCAGGTTTTTTGGGGCGGTTTTTTAACTGAAGTCTTCCATTACAGCCAGGAATTGAAGTGCTCTGTGAAACCTAGCGTGGATTAGGGAAGTGGTTTTGTCAGTGAAAACGTGATCTTGTCATTTCCATCCCGTTTGAGGTACTGATGGTGTTACGGTTTAAGGGCATATTGTGTAAATGCTCGTAAGGAGAAGCCTACAGATTTGGACTATCAGTAGTTTTCCTTGTTTAGGAACTATTTTTTTTTTCTTGTTCATACCAATAGCTTGTAGTTGGTGAAAGCAGCTTGTTTGAAGTGCCATGAAGCTAAAAGGAACAGATGTTCTATTTAAAGTTGCTTTCATTACAAATTCTCTCTCTTTTTTTAACCTTGCAACACTTCATCTTCTACTTCAGAACGACTTTTAACTTGCATAGTTCCCCAGCTCACCTGGGTTGGATTTGTAGATCTGACACAAGTGGCGCCCTGTAGAACAGAGAGACTGCCAAGGACGCGGTATCAGCTGTTTGCATTACCTTCCTTTTCCTGGGATTTGAGTTAACCAAGCAGAACAGGTTGGTTGGTTGGTGCGGCACGCTACTGATTTGCCACAGATCGTGACAGATCCACAGATTTTGTGGATTTAGGCAGTTTAGAAGCATCGTCTCTTCACATGCTGTTCCTTTAGTTAACAGTATTAGATTTAGGTCACTTGATCTGTTGTTCAAAAGGTGTGTCTTTCAGACTTTTCTTAAATCCCTACCCACAAGGGAAGTCAGATTTCATTTTTTTTTAAATTTGATTTGCTGCTCCTCTCTTATTCATTTACCAGAAATGAATGATACGTGGCGAGGTCCAGAGAACCAAACCACACCGCTCAGTGACGTATAATCAAAGACGTGGTGACTTGTGTTCCCCAGGGCTCAGTATTGGGGCCAGTTCTGTTCAATATCTTTATCAATGATCTGGACGAGGGGATCGAGTGCACCCTCAGTAAGTTTGCAGACGACACCAAGTTGGGCGGCAGTGTTGATCTGCTCGAGGGTAGGAAGGCTCTGCAGAGGGACCTGGACAGGCTGGATCGATGGGCCCAGGCCAACTGTATGAGCTTCAACAAGGCCAAGTGCCGGGTCCTGCACTTCGGCCACAACAACCCCATGCAGCGCTACAGGCTTGGGGAAGAGTGGCTGGAAAGCTGCCTGGCGGAAAAGGACCTGGGGGTGTTTTTTTTTAAAAAACGGGTAGATGAGGCGCTTAGGGACATGGTTTAGTGGGCATGGTGGTGTTGGGTTGACGGTTGGACTCGATGATCTTGGAGGTCTCTTCCAACCTTAATGATTCTGTGATTCTATGACTTGGCAGGATGGGTCTTGCGGGTGGATAACGACTCCTGTTCTGCAAAACACAAACACACGTGTGCACAAATCACAGCACCGGATCTAGTTTACACCAGCGTAACGTGGATCTGGGGAACAAGATACTCTGACCAGTCAGCATGTCAGGCCCTGGCTGACAGCTTGGCCACAACGTGGTTCCTCCTCAGGCTCTGCCTTCTACATGGTGTCAGTCGTGTGTGGTGCCCATCTCCTCTCTGAAGGGGTAATTAATTATTATTCCTATGTTAGCTTGTCACCAAGCTGCCGCTGGCCTTGCCAGTCCTGTAACCCTGGATCGGCCACCCTCTGACTCCACCAAAAAGAATACCAAACAAGTTACCTTTGCTGTCCAGTTCATTTTAAGTTGATTAGTGTGGTCAGCTTGAGTGGGCAAATGCAGTCAGGCCTCAATGTTAGAGAGAGAAACCGGCTTGGTTTTGGGCCAAGGCTTTCAGACCATTGTATTCTAGGAATAAAAAGACGGATTTGATGCATCAGCACAACGTACGCCTCTTACCCCTGTAGGGCTTGCTGGGGGAGAGGAGTGGGGACATTTATACCGCTAACGTACCTGAGACACCTTTTTCAAAAAACTCGGAAGATCAGAAGTAGTCCTAACTCATTCCTACTTAGTTTTTGAACAAGTCCTCCTGCAATGAGGACTGAAAATGTCACTGCTTTTACTCTCCACTCTCGGCCTGGATTTAGAAGGCCCCTCTTACTCCACTCTGTATGTAACTGGTCAGGAGAGTGATACAAGTCCGTTGCTGTCTCCGTCCTCGGGCGCTGCTGTAGGTAATGGAAAGTGGACAGAAGTGTTTGTCTGGGGGTATTGAAATGGCAGCCAGGCAGACACCGAGACACCTTCTTCCACCTGCATACGTTGAACAGGATGATGATTTTCTGAATTTAAGAACAGTGATTCTTTCTTGTAATGATAGAACTCTTCCGTACAATTTTAAGGTACAAAGGAATGCGCGTGTTACAGGAATTTGGACTGAATGATTTGGGGAACTGAGCCTTGTCTTTCAAGGCAGATGCATATCATTAAGTAAACTGATGTTTGTGGTACAGCTGATTACAAAGAATTCTGCTTTCAAAGGATGATGCTAGCAATTATGCAAAGTAAAGCTCAAGTTAGTAAATCCGTGCAGAAACTATCAAATCAGTATGATAGTTTCAAAGTGATGCCTTGTAGCTTTTGCAAAAGTCAAAGTATTAATTCTGTTTTCATTCTAGTGACATAGCATTTAGGGGTGAGATTT